ACGAGTCGCTCTCAAGGATGAACCACGCTCGCCACGGGGAAAAGTTAATCCACCGTTACACAGGTGGATACCTACAGGATCCATCTCAATGCGTTGCCCTCCCATGGCCTTGTGAAGCAAAAACAAATTGTAACCCATTCCCTCAACGTGATGCACGCCGGTGAGCTTCACGCAGAAATCGCTTCCACCATTGTGGAATTTGACGTTCAGGCTGCCGATACCAAGCACAGGCATCGTCCTACCATCTCCAATCACTACTCGCTCTCTACCAGGCGGAGGAATCAGCACATCGTACATGCACCTCGGGTCACCTGTGGTGTGGTTCGTGGCGCCAGAGTTGGCAAGCCAAGTTTCGTCTCCTACACTCTCATCAAGGACGTTCATCATTGCATATCCGTCGTCCCTTCGCTCTACTAGCACTCCATTTTCAGACTCACTTGGAAAAGCCCACACCACACACGCATGTAAATCCCCACCAGTCGATGGAGACGCTCCGGTCGAAGGCGCCGGAGGAGCGTACGGGTTGGAGATGGGCTGCTGCTGTTGCACGGGGGGGGAAAGGTACTCCGGCTGCTGCTGTTGGGGCGAGTAATGGTAAACGCCGCTCGCGTGGGTCACCGGATTTTGGTAAACGCCGCTCACGTGCGTCACCGCATGCCCCCCTGTAGATGGAGCTGTCGTCGCCACCGCCGTCGCTCCTGCTGCTCCTGGCGCTACCCCCGGGTAACCCTCTCCGCCGTATTGCTGCGCCGTATTTGCCTGCCCATACGAGTGTGCCCAAGGCGGCCGCTGGCTGTAACCACCGGCCGGCGGCCGGGGCGGCGGGTGCCTGGGCGGCGCGTTGCCTGCCGGCATGCCAGCTGGCCTCCCGACATCAACGCGCGAAGGGCAGAACAGGTGGTTGTGGCCGAGTTCACCGCAGTACTCACACCGCTTGCGAGGGTCATTCGGGTGGATGGGAGGTTCACTTCCCTGCGGGCGGTACATGTTGGGGGGGTAGGTGCNTCCTGTCGGCTGCTGCTGATGACGTCCTTCTCCAGAAAAGCCCCGGCCCCCATGCTGGGGCCCGTGCCTTCCGCCGTAGCTCGCACCTAGGCCGCCCGAGGGACTTCCCCAACCCCGCTGCAAGCGACCCTCGTTGCTGTGGGACGGGGAATTGTGGAGGTCACAACATTTTTTTTCAGGCGGGTACGACGGCGGGTATACCTGTTGCTGCTGGTTGAAGTACGGCTGATG